ATAAAATAGGATCATTCCCCAAAAGATACATAAGATTAAACATTATATGATCCTTACCAGAATTTTAATTTAATTAGTTCATCATGTTCATCAAGTATGCTGCCTTCAATCACATCTAAACCGGCAATGCACGGACCCACACACTCTACGTACCACCTAATCATTGAACAATCCGATCTGATTAGGGGAAAGCGAACCAAGACGTACAACTTCATCACCGCACAAACTAACATAAAGTTCAACCCATTCACAAAAGCTGGATCAAACTTGCACAACTTTTAAAAGATCAACATGCATGTCTAGCACATTTTTCACATCATTGCTCTTCTAATACTAGCAGTGCATATACTGTACAAGGCATCCTCACCTAGTGGCAAGCAATGCAGCTGCCAGTCGGCCAACAGTGGCAAAGTACACGCAACTTTGACATCGGCGATCAGGTATTCTAATCGCACACATGGGACTGGCGTTGCTGCGTCCCATACCGGGGGAGAAAGAAAGCCCCAAAGGGTGGAGGGCTGTCACGAGCATGTCCCCGGCTTGCAGACCGCCCGATCGACATCTTACAGTGGCGATCCTTCTTCTCAGGCCCTCCGCTAATGCGCCGGCGGTTAGCCACCTCGAGGAGGCATTGCGTTTATGATTTTCCTGATGTTCGTGATGAGGTCTCGGTTGCTTAGCCTTACCTTGTGCCAAGAAGCCGTCATCTTCTAATGGAGGGTTTTGTTTCTTCAATAATAGTATATGGCTATTGGCTGTATACATCTTTTGATGCAGATTTTTAGGCATGGCAAATCTGACGTTTTTCATGGAAGAAATTTATATTGGCGTAATGATGCAAATTTAGTTTGCAAGCATGACAAATTTCTGACAAAAATATGAACTTAGACAGATTTATCATGCCCACCAACTATATTTGTCATCCTTGAAGAACATAATTTGCTATGAATTGTTTGATTTGTCATGGCCTAAAATCTAACGTCAGATTTGTAGTTGAGTCCGAGTTATCCTCTTTTTCAGAAAAAAGAAGATGCCATCATCTTTGTTGCGATATTTGTGATAAACCGGCAAGGTGCAAATACCTTCTTCTCGTGAGTTTAAGTAAAGACAGGGAGACAATGTGAATGTCTTCTACGTACGTTTCGTGCATGAACATTCAGTCAACACTGTCCTGTACGTACTCTCTGTCCAGGTCTTGTCCTTTTTTCCTTTTCTTTGGGCAAACAAGGTCTTGCCAGCAAGAAGCCTTCCCGGACTGAAAGCATGTCCAATTTTGCGTCCAGTGTAGTACTACAAAACTCATCGAGAACTTAAAACAGCTTGCCAAAGAAAGTGTATTAGTGAGAGATGCAGTATTATATTGGGAAATAAACGAAAAACAAGCAATGTAAACCCCCACAATGTAGGGCAACTTGGATGTACCACAATATATTATTTATTGAAAAGAATGCAGTTCTTTTAGCATCCAAGTTCAAAGAATGAATGCCTTGAGAGAGTAGAGTTCAAGTCAAAAAGGGAGTAAAAAAGAAGCAGTCCCCGGAACCCAGAAAAATTAATCCGATGATAAGGTTGGGGTTTGAAGCTACTAAGCTCTCCTTTTCACACAGATTATAAGATCTCTATGTACACGCACATACTCCGATCCATGGCCATGGGCACAAGAGCTCTCTTTGTACGGATTCATGAACAACGTACACTTCGATCACTTACCCGCTAATCATTTCGGAAGGGCATGCAACATGCCACTTCTCTCGGATCAGTCGATAATAACTAGCCAATTTTTTTATTTAAAAAGGCTTTTACTTCGCTTTATAAATAAAACAACCACCAAGCACGAGGTATCAAGGTATCACCCGAACAATCCACACACAAACACAATGCCACCGCAGGCAAGGTCCAACGGTCACACACAATCACACAGTTCCAAGTTCAGTTGTGGGCACAGCACAACAAACCCAACAAGGCGCACGACAAGACAACACATAAACGACGGTGACGGTGGCGAGGTGACGACGATCTAATCCGGCTCCGGTGGTGGTGGGGGAAGCGGTGGGGCCATCCGGAGAGCCATCGCACGAAGATGGGTGATGATGGAGGTGATGGCGTCTCTCTCCCTAGGACGGCTAAACGGCCACCAAAGCTGCAAGTAACCAGACCATTTGAACAAAGCGTCAGTAGCACGACAAAGGAGAATACGCTGAATCACAAGTTTATTCCTAACAGTCCACAACGTCCAGGCAAGCACCCCAATGGCCAGCCACCTAATGTGGCGCATTGAAGTTGGGATCGCCTGGAGTTCGGCGAAGAGAGCGGGGAAGTTGTTGTGGTCCCAGTTTCCACCCACTATTTCGCGGAAAAAACTCCAGAGGAACTGCGCGGACACGCAGGAGAAGAATATATGATTCGAGTCCTCTTCAGGCCCGCAAAGCGGGCAACGTCCATCATCGGGACCATTGCGTTTCAGGACATCCACGCCGGACGGAAGGCGACCTCGAATCCATTGCCATAAAAAGATCCTAATTTTCAGAGGGAGACGGATCTCCCAGATGGTGGTGAACGCCTCATGGCCAAGCAAAGGGACAATGGCCTGGTAGAGGGATCTAGTGGAGAATTGCCCAGAAGGCTCTAGACGCCATCTGGAGCGGTCAACTAGCCAATTCATATAACCAAACACTAGTTAACTTGGGAGAGGGCCTTCAAATCGTAAAAATTACACGCCACGTTGCAATATATAAGGTCATTTTTTACACCATGCTTAATGGCTGTATGTTGCACATTAATTTTCTCTTAAAAAAATCTAGACGCATGTTGTTGGATGAAGTTTGTGCCTGCATCCAAAAATATGTCCATCTTATCGTGTACGAAACAAAACAAGTTCTTCAAGGGACTCCAAGTTAATTACCTCCAAAGAGACAAACAAGATTTTTTAGTCTAGTTATAACATAACTTTTTTGCATTTTTTTGCCTGTGTATCTTAAAACAGTTATTGGTTCATGTTTTACTGTATTCAGTTAAGTTTTGAGACCAATTACTTAATCAATCTTGGTGAAGAAAAAGAAAGCTACTCGATGCCATGAAGCTTGAAACAGAAGATAAAAAGCCATTTGTTAGTGCTTTTATATGTTTCCTTACATCCCACTGAGGTTAATGGCATCATTATTACTTCCTTATTTGCAAGAAGTGCACAGTCCATACTGACCCTAGAAATTAGGGCATTACTAGTTTATTAACGCGAACCAACCTGTGGTTGGATAGTTAGGTGGACAGTGGTATCCACAACCCACCAGGGTTCAAGTCCCGGTACTTGCATTTACCCTCAAGATGATATCCCGGCTCAGTCTGCCGAAGGTGCTCATAAGGATAGGGTGTGTGCATGTGCATTTACAGGGATGAGTGTATGCGCATATATATATGAGTGTTTGCGTCTGTACCATGTTCAAAAAAACATAGTCTCTTACCAATCTAGATGTAATATTATATCATCCACATAATTAAGTCTAGTAAAATCATATCGGCCACATAATTATATCAACACTTCATATTTTTGTTTCTAACTTTAGTCATTAATTTTACAACCAAAAAGTTAGTTATATGCCACAAAAAGTATGGCATTGGATGCACATTTCAAAGAACTTTTCGATGATATTTTTTATGACATATAACCCATATTTTGTTCATCAAAATTAGAAGTCAAAATTTGACATGAAAAACAAAGTGATCTTGTATACAGAAATAGAGGGAGTACTAACGTAGGAGAGTCTTGAAATTGTCCCAAATATGTTGGTGCTATGTTTTCCTTCAACAATGTATGTCCAATACCCAAAGTAATATAGTGTATACTCCTCAATATAGCGCATAATTTTGCTGCACCCATCAAACCTTGTCCACTGATATGTGTAAAATCATAGACTCAGCATGTAAGAATAATATTGTTGTATTTGTCTTGCAAGATAATTTTATATTATGCCCCTCTTAACTATTTTTAGGCATCACAGCATCACATGCAAAAGATTACAACCAAAGTGATGCATTGAAGTATTTGTGTTTATAGTTTCTGGAAAAGGGAACTGTATATTAACCGTATTGAAGTCTTAGTAGAAATATTCTAGGGTATATATACACCCCTAAGCGGGAGTTTCAAAATAACCACACACCTATGATAATGGATCACGAGTTTATGTTTATACTACTCCCTCCATTCCAAATTAGCTAGTGTATTAGAGTTCGTTAGGATAAGCATTTGACCAACAATTACTATATTAATACACACATGTGTGATATAAAGTTCTCTTTTGCAAAATTATGCGCCATAAAGTTGATATCATTTGTATTTTAAAGTACTCATTTGTGGTTATGATTTCTTATCACGAAAGTTATATCATAATAGTGTAATTGTCCGGAAAAGGCTTATTCCAACGAAACCTAATACACTACTCCACAATTTCAACCGAGGGAGCAGGGGCTGTTTTGAGGCACAAATTATTCACTCTTGAAAAAAAATGTTACTCCCTCCGATCTGAATTAATTGACGCAACTTTATACTAAAGTTGTACTAAAGCTGCATGAACAAATTTGGATCGTAGGGAGTAGTATTAATTTTTAGGGGGATCAATATGCAACTATTTTTAGAGGAATTAATACCGTTTTAGATAATTAATACAATACAACTTTAGTATAAAGTTGTACTAAAGCTGTGTCAACTAATTTGGATTGGAAGGAGTAGCACTATTTTTTAGGGAAATTGATATGCAACTATTTTTTAGAGGAATTAATATAACAATATTTTTAGATAAATAAATTTGCTACTTTGTTACATTTTTTTCCTGCACAATAGAACCCTTCCACTTGTGCAACAACTGGAACCTCTCACCTATATAAAGGCAGTGGCACACAGACATGCCCAAGAGCCAAAGTAAGGCGCAAGACTAGCCAGCAGGGAGAGTTTTTCCATTGCTAATCAAGCAACGTTTAGCCGCCGGCCGGCAAGAAGCCAAGAAAGCATGGGCAACAGCCTGCGGTGCTGCCTGGCCTGCGTCCTCCCCTGCGGCTCCTTCGACTTGATCCGCATCGTCCACCTCAACGGCCACATCGAGGAGTACTCGCGCCCGGTCACCGCCGGCGAGGTCATGGCGGCGCACCCCAGCCACGTGGTGAGCCGGCCGTGCTCCCAGGGCGGCGCGCGGCGGATCCTCATTGTCGACCCCGATTCGGAGCTGGAGCGGGGGTGCTTCTACTTCCTGGTGCCGACCTCGTCGGTGCCGGAGAAGAAGAGGAAGCCGTCGTCGCAGCCACAACAGAAGAAGGTGCGGTCATCGTCCACGTCGAAGCCGACGAGCGTGCCGAGCAGTGCGGGCGCCGGCGCCGGCGCTAATAAGGTGACGAAAGACCGCGGCGCCGGCGACAGCTACCTGGCGGAGGTGCTGTCGGAGGGCAAGGCCAGGTGCAAGCGCAGCCGGAGCGTCCGCGCGACGGTGTGGCGGCCGCATCTTCAGATCATCCCGGAAGAAGCTCTCGAGTGAAATCTGCTGTGTTAGCTTGGTCCCTGTTGTACATACGGGTCTGGTCTGGTTGTGCACGGTGTACCGTGCACGTACAAGGACGACCGAACGGCGCCGCGTAGCCATGCGTGACGTGGTGGGCGGTGATGGCCGTTGGGTCGTCCAGTTTTAGGTGAGAGGCCGGCGATCGCCGCCGGCTGCCTCTCCCTTGGTAGTTTTTCTCACTCTCTCGGTGTTTTTCCAGCTCTTTTCACTGCCGGCCAGATCGGGCTGCTTTGAAGGCAGTGAGAGTAGCTGGTTTGGGTTGCCCTCGATGGCAGAGAGAACAGGAGAAGCAGAAAACAAGACTGCAAGAGCTTTTTTTTACGGATGTAATGACAAGAAGCCAGAAAAGTTCAGCAGAAACTTCAATATTGTTGTCCATCTTGTCAGGATATATTACGTGCGTTGTTCAGCTCTGATGCATCCTCCAATGAGCTATACTCCTGTGTACGTATAGGTTCCAGGAAACTTCCTGAATCGCACGGTAATCAGTAGCCAGACGACGGCAGGTTCCCGTTGGTTTTTGCGGGTGGCTCATCCCTTTCCCATATTTTCCCATATTTTCTTCTTCAAATACCGGAGCACACGAAACATATATACATCTAATCCAAATAGGGTCTCGGTCTCCACTGGTCTTGTCTAGAACTTGCTGCTAATCAGTCAAAACAAGTCGCAAAATTGCGTCGAGTTGTATGGAAGGGGACGAAAGCTTTTTGTCCGATGCAGGCATGAAACAAGGGGAGCTTTTTCTCCGTCACGTCCGGACATCCGGTGGTATGAGCTGTACCTCAGGTTAAACAACAGTGAAGCGGCTCTAGCCCCAAGTGAGCACGAGAAGCCACCCTTCAACACTCTGCCAAGTGGCAAGGGAAGTGCCAGTGCCAATGCGTCCAGCTCCATGGAAGCACTCCTTTGTGTGTGTGGGCCGACAGAGTAGTAATAAGGCTGGTCATAGTGGGAAGTAACTTATATATTATTATTTTTTTAGAAAAGGAGGATGACCCCCGGCCTCTGCATCTGGGAGATGCATACGGTCACTTTATTGATTATTCTCGAGGACCTTACAAAGTATTACAACAATGTGCCTGAATCCACCATCTTGGTAACATATGCCGCTACTCCTATCCAAAATGATGAAGGGGTGCTAGCTGGGTCACTAGCCAGACCACTCACCCAAGCCTAACATCAAAAGCCGAAAGCTGAAACACATTCGAAAGCCCCAGCTAGTCTAAATTACTACCTTTATAGTGCAAAGTAACATAGTAGTAGTGTCATAGAGGACTTTATTAATGAGTTTGTAGACTCATCTTGTCTTGGAAAGTGCTATGTTATAGTAACATATTATATTACCACTTCTCATTAACTACATGCCACATAAGCAAAAATTTCTCGGGATGCGCTATGTTACTAGGTAAGTTACTCCCACTATGACTAGCCTAAGGCCGCCCATGAGACCAATATACTCCTTCGATCGAGAGAAGGCTTTCTTTAGTGAATGGACACTCTCATAGGACTACCAAGTTGACAATCATGGGCTAGATGCATCACCAATCCGGTTAAACACATTAGGGCATCTTCAACACGGATCCTCAAACTGTCTGCATCGGCCCCGGACTCCGCAAGTCATTCAACGACGTCCCCCATCGGTTCACGGAGCAGTCCGGACTGCACGGTCCGAGTTCCGCAAGCCATTCAATGGCGTGACCCATCAGTTCACGGAGCAGTCCAGACCAAGGCTTTCCCACAAATCGGAACCAAACCATGGGGCTTGGCGGGAGACCGGACACAAGACATGTAGGACTGCGTCACCTACCGCCCACCCAAAATTGAGGCGGAGCCCGTGCTTTTGTAGATATCTGCATTGTTTTCGCAGCAAAAATTCCCCTTTCCAAACACTCTTCTTTCCCATCCCGCCGCTCTCCACCCAATTCCTGCCATTTTTCACCGTCGCCGCATGGACCCGCACGAAAAGCAGTCGGAGACGGCAGTGGTGGAGTATCCGGCGACCACGCTCGCTCGGAAGATCAACTCAGAGCCACGGCAAAACCGTTGCCTGAAAGCAAAGGCAAAGGCGGCACCGGTTAAGAAGCAGAAGGTCGGCGGAGACGGATGTGGTGGTTGTGCAGGTGGCGGCTGTGGTGCAGGGCGGAGCCTGGGACGCGGGGCGCCGCTGCCGTCGTTGTCCATGCAGACGTCGTCTTGGCCGAAGCAGTACGAGGTGTCCTACTTCTATGTCACCAAGCAGCTCGGTAGGCAGTCCCCGACATCCGTCGCCGAGCATGTGCCCTACTGTGTGGACGTCTACATTGCGCTACTGGTTTTCTTTGAGTCTGCATCGTCGTAGCTTGTACATTGCTTATAGATGCATTGTTGTGTTGATCATTTGGTCGGGTATGCATTGTTTTGTTGATCATTTGGCAATGTTTTATTTTGTAGCCTTCCTGTGTGTGCAATGTGTTCTTGAAGTTGGAGAAGAAGAACTTCACGGTCATACATTGTTGGTTGAAGTTGAATGGACAACCCAAGTGGAATCAATTCGTTGCCAAGACCGTCGACACAGACACCGAGGAAGAAACCAGTGATCCAACCGATCCAACAAAAGAGCCATCCAAGAAGGTTGAAGAGGGTTCTGGGGACATAAGTGGGAGGAGGAGAAGGCAAAGCGAGACGGGGCAGCGGCCAAGATGACGGAGAGGTTCGAGGGCATCTTGATGAAGAAAGATGAGGCATACATCAAGCGCTCCGACGTCAATGAGGCATGCCAAGTCGGGAGGTTTAACATGTTGATTGCGGCGACCGACAAGAAGATAAAATTCGAAAAGAAGAAGGCCATGATCAAAGAGAAGAAGGTTGAGATCACAACCGCTGCGGAGGAGCAAATATTTTAACCTTGAAGATGGATGATTTGGATGACGATGCAAGGAGATCATGCAAACCATCCGTTTCAAGATGTTAAAACAACATAAGGAAGATATGAAGGCAGAGGCGGAGAAGGAGGCGGCCGAGAAGACGATGGCCAAGACCGTGGTGGCGGCAGAGTGAGCGATGAGACTCAGATAGCTGGTCCAACGGGGAATTTTTTGCACAGACTACCGGACCGCTAATCTTTTGTGATCGAGCATGTAAAAACTATGCATACTTGCCTATTTTTGGTTGTGATCCGGCATGTGCTATGTGATCGGGTGGATTTGAATTTCAAATTGACCGTACCTAGGTGGATATTTAGGGGATAGATTTGGATGGCCGGCTCCCGTATCAGTGTCCACGGAGTGGTCCCCACCGGTCCGTGGACGGATACAGTGTCTGCTTTGGGGGCCAACATTGGAGAAGCTTGATGATCCACAAGTATAGGGAATCAATCGTAGTTCTTTCGATAAGTAAGAGCGTTGAACCCAGCGAGGAGTGGAAGGAACAAATCAGCGATTTTCATCAAGGTATTCTCTGCAAGTGTTGTAAAGTAGTTGTATCATATAGTTTGATAACAGGATAATTCATAATAGGTAACAAGTAACCAGAGTAACAAGGTGCAGCAAGATGGCCCAATCCTTTTTATTGCAAAGGACAAGCCAAAATTACTTCTTATAGTGATTAAATTGTTCTCCAGGACGCAAGGGAATTTCGTCTAGTTACATTCATCACGATTCATTGACTCACGTTAATTGCTTTGATAAGTTGTTATGTGGATGGACCAAAGCTAAGGTGTTGTTCTTACTTGAACAAACAAGCTGTTGGGGAACGTTGCAGAAAATTAAAAATTTTCCTACGGTTTCACCAAGATCCATCTATGAGTTCATCTAAGCAACGAGTCAAGGGAAGAGTTTGCATCTACATACCACTTGTAGATAGAGTGCGGAAGCGTTCAAGGGGATGGTGATGATGGAGTCGTACTCGTCGTGATTCGGATCACCGATGACCAAGTGCTGAACGGACAGCACCTCCGCGTTCAACACACGTACGGGACGGACGACGTCTCCTCCATCTTGATCCAGCAAGGAGGAAGGAGAGGTTGAGGAAGGCAGCTCCAACGGCAGCACGACGGCGTGGTGTAGTTGGTGCAGCAGTACTCCGACAGGGCTTCGCCAAGCACGTACTGAGGAGGAGAGGTGTTGGGGAGGGGAGGGGCTGCGCCTTGAGTTGTGGTGTTGCAGCCCTCCCCTCACCCCTCTATATATAGGAGGAGAGGGGCAAGGGGGCCGGCCCTCTAGGGGAAACCCTAGAGGGGGGCGGCGGCCAAAGGGTGGGGGGCTTGCCCCCCAAGCAAGGGGGGTGCGCCCCCTTTAGGGTTTCCCCCCCCCCAACCCTAGGCGCATGGGCCCAAAGGGGGGCGCGCAAAGCCAACTAGGGGCTGGCTGCTATCCCTACGCAGCCCAAGTGGCCCCCCGGGAGGGGTGGTCCCTCCCGGTGGACCCCCGGAACCTTTCCGGTGGTCCCGGTACAATACCGGTATGACCCCGAAACTTTCCGGTGCCCGTTTAACAACTTCCCATATATAAAACTTTACCTCCGGACCATTCCGGGACTCCTCGTGACGTCCAGGATCTCATCCGGGACTCCGAACAACATTAGGTAATCACATACTTGTCTTCCTGATAACCCTAGCGTCACCGAACCTTAAGTGTGTAGACCCTACAGGTTCGGGAGACATGCAGACATGACAGAGACTCTCCGGTCAATAACCAACAGCGGGATCTGGATACCCATGTTGGCTCCCACATGCTCCTCGATGATGTCATCAGATGAACCACGATGTCGAGGATTCGATCAAACCCTGTATACAATTCCCTTTGTCAATCGGTACGTTACTTACCCGAGACTCGATCGTCGGTATCCCAATACCTCGTTCAGTCTCGTTACCGGCAAGTCACTTTACTCGTACCGCAATGCATGATCCCGTGACCAAACACTTGGCCAGCTTGAGCTCATTATGATGATGCATTACCGAGTGGGCCCAGAGATACCTCTCCGTCATACGGAGTGAC